TGTCACATATGTAATTCAAGACATATTTTATCATAATTTGTAATTTCATCATTGAATGGATACTCCACATTTGGTGTTGGGTTTCACAAACTAGTGGAGTCTAAAATATGCTTATAAAATATAGAGTGCTATTAAATGGACAATTGTTAAATATGGAACAGTTGTTTAAATAAATACAACTGCCTTGCCTACCCAATAGTTAGTTAAATGGGGATGCCCAGGAAGAAGTGTCCTGCGCTTGCCTGCCCCATACATAGCAACTCAACTCCTTATCCAACAAGGATAGACACCTTAGAGCCAGCCTCCCAGGCTCCTAGCGTCTAGACTCCTAGGCCAGAGACGCCTAGTACCCTCGCATCTACTCCTCTGCTATCCTCACCACCCTCGTCGACTATATCTTGGCCAATCGCGCTCTTGCCTGAGTGTGCCGCCACACCTAAACAGGTGTCTACCACTGGTGCAGTAGCATGCCGGCAGTTGTACGAAGATGAATCTTCAACTAGGGAAGACGGTGAAGTAAGGCTGATGGTTATTAGTCCCCAAGGTACTCTGCTCAAATATGTCGTATCCCTCCATTTTATGGCATCAAACAATCAGGCAAAATATGAGGCCCTCATCTCAAGCTTGAAGCTTGCAATTGAAATAAAGGCTATCTATTTCAGGGTTTACATGATTCCCAACTAACAATCAATTAGTAAAAAGAGACTTTGAAGCAAAAGAGAAAATGATACAAGAGTATTTGTCAATTGTATAGACTTTAGTGAAAAAGTTCAATCACTTCCAGATTCAACATGTGCCTAGAGAGGATAACGCCATAGAAGATGCCCTAGCCAAATTCACATCTGCGAATTTATTAATAGGGCCCACACTTAAAGGTCACCAGTTTGAGCCAAACAAAGGAGGACAATGTCAACTGTCCATCCTCCAAAATCAACTAGATGACACCTATCCGAGCCTCTCTAAAAGGAGACACTCTCCCAGAGAATCTACTGGAAGCCAAGAAGTTGAGACTGAGAGCGTCTAGGTACGTCATCTTACATGACACTTTTTACAAGAGAATCTACTCATTGGAAGACTAAGCCATGAGCTAGGTATGGTTAGGCATGAAGGCAAGGCTAATCAAGGATGTGCGCTCACAAGGAAGACAAGTGCGCAATATGTGAGGTGGTTCCGAACGGTTGTGGCATGTGCCCTGCAAATGGTGGCGGTTCCAAATAGTTGCTGGCATGTGCATGGCATGCAGGGGCGGTTCTGACATGTGCACATCATGAGGGTTTCTGGCATGTACACTCAACATCCACAGTAATTGAGGGCAGTTACTGGCTGGGTCAGCCAACAGTTGCAACTGCCCCTTAACATGACCAATAGATGTGGGAGTGGATCTGAACCATCATCAGCAAACTGTGGGGTGGCTTTGTGGGCAAATTTGAATTGCCATACAATTGCCTAGGCAGTTGGGCTTGTAACCGCCAATTTGAATGTTATAAATAGACATGTTGGGGCTTGCAGTGCATAAGAAGAGAGTCGGACACGTTTTTGTAAGTAGATCCTGACTGAGTGTTCCTTTAGGCTTTATTGAGAAAAAAGGTTAGGCCATTGGCCTGTAAAGCTCGTGTGTGTTGTGTTTACTTGCTGTGTCTATATTCTTTCCATTGTGTGATTTCTATAATCGATTGTGTGCAATGATTGAGACTGAGTGTAGGATCTCAATGTCATCACAAGGTAGAAATTTGAGTGAGAAATTTGACCTTGTGACACCTAGCATGATTAAGAATGCTCGTGAATTCGTAAAGAAGTGCGACAAATGTCAACGTTTTGCAACAGTGCCAAGACAACCACCAGAAGAACTCACCACCATCATTAGCCCTTGACCTTTCTCTAAGTGGGGAATAGACATCTTAGGCCCCTTACTCATATTGCAAATTTGTGATAGTAGCCATTTACTACTTCACAAAGTGGGCAGAAGCTGAGTTCTTAGCCAGAATAATGGACCAGAAAGTGAAGGATTTAATCTGAAAGAGCATAGTATTCCATTTTGGATTACCTCATGCAATAGTAAGTGACAATGATAAGCAGTTTGACAACAAACTCCTTAATGGCTTCTATGTAGACTTACAGATCCAGCAACCCCACTCTAGCCCAGCCCATCCACAAGCAAATGGGCAAGCGGAGGTCACTATTAGAACAATCCTACACAACCTAAATACCATGCTAGAAAGCACCAAAGGGCGGTGGGTGGATGAGCTCCCAAGAGTACTGTGGGCCTGGACAATGCCAAGGAGCCCTATGGGTACGACCCCATTCTTCGTAGCCTATGGAACAAAGGCGGTTATACTAGTCGAGATCGGGGGTACACACCTTGAAGGTCCAATACCATGACCCAACCACTAATAAAGAAGATCTTTGTTTAACTTTGACTTGGTAAAAGAGGAAAGGGAGATGGCAATAGTCAGTAAAGTGGAGTACAAGCGTTGCATGACCAAATATTACAACTCGAGGGTGAAGATTCGCTCCTTTTTGCCGGGGGACCTAATCCTCAAGAAAGTAATCTTGTCTACCAAGGACTCTTAAGAAAGCAAGATAGGCCCCAATTGGAAAGGACCTTACATGGTGAACAAAAGTTGTATGACTAGACACTTACATAATTCAACACTTTGAAGGGAAAGCCTTGGCCCATCCAAGGAATGTCGAACACCTGAAGAGGTATTATCAATAGTAGAGTACATGTCAATGACTCTTATGCTATTTGTCTTTGTTGGTTTAGTCAATTTATTTTGTTATCCATTATTTTAGTTATGAAATAAAACTTTGCAAAGATTATTTTATCCAGAACTGTCTTTCTTTCATTCCATAGGAGTTTTTAAATAACTTACAAAAATCAAAGCAAGACCTAACAACAAAAAGGTAGACAAGTAAAAGTTGTCGGACTCCCAACATAACTTACTACTCCTCGATCCGCTCTCATCAAAACTCTTCTTGTTACCATTTGTCTCTGGTACCCCATACAGGACGAAGTCCGAGAAATCAACAATAGAGGAAGATGCTAAGGCCTTCCCCCTAAACACCTCATTGTTGTCAATAAAAGCACTTGCAATGGCCCTCTTAGCAGCCTCCCTCCTCCTCTCCAGCTCAATGGAATGAACTTCTATCCTTGTGGCTTTCTCATGAGCTACTCGCAAGCCAGCCCCTGCCATGTCAGCCATCTCCCGAGCTATCGTAGCTTTGCTCAGCTTCTGCGACCCTCTCACGGGTTGCCCACAGATTTGACTTTACTCTCGCACAGGTAATCTATTAGCCTCTAGCTTGACAGCCCTCTCACGAGACGCCGAAAGCTAGACTTCAAGAGGTGCAGCTCTCTCATTAGCCAACCTCAACTGCTCCTCAACAGCATCTTGTGTCTGTCTTTCTTCTACCAAAGCCCTTGATGCCTTGCCAAGTTTGTGGTCCTTGAAAAAAGGTAGGGAAAGGCAGTAGCCACCTATAAGCATCCAAAAGGTAGAACATAAAAAAAAAGGAGAAGTGTAGAAGCCAAAAGGCTAACCAGAAGAAAAGTATACCCTAGCGAATCCCTCTAGCGTGGTATGTATAATTCCATTTGGACCTCAAGAGTCACTTCTCTAATATCCAAAGCCATCACAAAATTCCAAAGCCACTCCTTGGCTAGATTTACATCTGTATCATGGACATTGAGTCACTGCTGGAAGCAGGACAATTATGTGAAGCTCCAACCCTTATAGAGGACCTCACACGAGTCTCAGCTCCTTAAATAGTAGTAGGGCTAACTCCTACACTCAAAGGGGCCGCATGCTAAGAAGGAATGGGGGCACCACCAAATCTCACCTCTCAGGAAATAGCATGGCCATCAAGCCTTGATCGAGAAACACTGGGGGCATTAGGCTTTGCCCTCTGAGGAGGAGGGGAAGATACCGTAGAAGCATAGAGAGCCTCCACCATCGCTCTATTAACAATAGTACCTGTAGAACTTGCATAAGAAGGAGAATTTACAAGCTTCATCAAATTTATTGAAGGGATCATATACCTTTCTCTTCTGTCTAGGGGGGGGCTCTAGAGTGACCCGATGTTCACATTAGGGCTGCAAATTGCTTGGTGGGATGATCCCTCATAGCCTAAAGCCTACTCTTTCTCTCCATAGATAATACGGGTGAAGCTGCAAAGGAAGCCAAACATGTAGTAAGTGCCAGAGGGATATGACTTTCAGGTATGAAAGCAAGGGAAAAACTCATACCTAGCTTGGTCTTCAGAAGAGTATCCCACTGCAAGGGTACTAAATCACAGTCCTTCTCAGTAGCCCACTCACCTCCAATGAAGAAAAACCTAGACTTCTAACTGTGGCAATTTAAAGTTAATCCAGTGATCAACTTGCCCAATCGCGAAGCAAAATGGTACCATCCTTGATGAGGAGTAGGATTTTTCAAAAGCACATACAAAGCCAAAAACTCCTTGAAAGGGAGAAAACATTCTCATCATGAACCAACCACCATAGTGAAAAGAACACTAAAATTACGCTTCATCCATTCGGGATTAACCTCCCCCGGGTAAGCGACAAGTAACCCATAATTAGACAAATGGGTCTGGACATGGGAAACCTCAATCCTACCTCCAAGACATCCTCATAGAAAATAATCTCTCCAGAGGAGTCAAAGCACGCTGACTCATCCTCCTCGGTTTGGTAGCATAAAATAGTGGGAGGAATATGCAAGGACGACACCATGTTGGCTATACTACTATCACAATCTATGGAACTGAAAATCAAAGTTAACTTTGAACTGTCAGTGTCAGCAATGCCTTTAACTCGCTAGGATGTTTATGTAGAGGTTGTCATCAAACCCTTGTCAGGTTGAGCAACTACAATAGGAAGACCCAATGTCAAGAAAAAGGACAAAATAGATAAGGGGCAGGCAAGATCAAGATCGCCTTACCTAGCCGCAAGGTGTCACACTCCCTCTCCCTGGCAAAGCCCAAGACACTATCTTTGCAATTTAACGCTCTTGCTCGGTACCCACTATGGACGTTGGATAGCTGCCCCTAGAGCCAGAACTGTCACCAAGCAGTTTGCCTGTGCGAGCATCAGTGCCTGTGCGTGTATTAGTGCCATCAGTTTTCTCCCCGATGTCGCACATACCTCCTCCAGCCACGCCAAGGGTGTTGTCCACACTGCCTGCATTGCCCAAGCCCCTTGAATCATTTCTAGCTGCGGCGCCACTTAGATCTCCATCGGTGTCACCTCCCTTCGTGTGGAGGGCACTGTCCAGGCTAGCGTCAGCATCGCCTCCAACTACGCGAAGGGCACCGCCTTGGACTCCATCGGCGTCACCTCCACCCGTGCAAAGGGCACCATCCAGGACTCTATTGGCGTTGCCACCCAGGACTCCATCCGTGTCGCCTACAGTCACGAGAAAGGCCTTGCTTAGGCCAATGTCAGCATCACCTGCCACACCAAGGGCACAAGGGTGCCTCCTCCGCCTTTGGTGCCGCCCTACATGCTACGAGAGCCAATGCCCATAAATCCTCCTCCATTGGCACCTTGTAGACCAGCGCCTTGACTGGCGTTGCCCATGGTGGTTGGCGCTGCCCCCATGGCGCCTCGAGCTTTGCCTAGCCTCCCCAAGGCATTGCGAACGCCTAGGTTTGCCATGGCACCTTGATTTCGCCTGTAACCCCTTTGTGGCATTACCTACAACGTCATCCAAACTCCATCTGATCTCCATCATTGTGAGCCTTTCTCCCAATAGTCTATGAGAAGTAGAGAAGAAGAGTGTTGAGCTTAGTCCATGAAGAAGGAAGACAATGAAAAGGGATGGAAATGTGGACAGTTACTTCCTAGGTCTATATATATACTGGCCTCCAAGGTCCTAAGAATGATGCCCTAAATAGGATAGGGGATTTTTGCTACTAGATTTGACCCAGTAGATGGGAATGGGTGCTAAAATAATGATTGCCCAACCATGGTGTTCCCAGATGAAAAGGGAAGTTTTGAGAATGGAATGGAGTGAAAAGCTTAAGAAACTATCGTGAAGAACAAGATAACCGGTCTGCCTACAAGAAGAGCTCACTTATGCCCTCAACCTCTTGTCATCGTAAATGCTTGGGGCATGGGGGCAAATGACGAGCCTAGAATCAGACCAAGTTTAGGCCCAATCCATGGGTTGAGCCCAAACCATCAAAAGGCAAACCAGACTTAGTTCATGATTTCGGTCCGATACAAAGCTCAAGTGTCCAAGAAGAATTAACGTGTATGGGAGAACAATCATCGGAATAGCCATGACTCCAAGATAGTGCCTATCTCCAATAGTAGCTATCCTACTTGGTAAACTAGTACCTTGACTTTCATGATACTGTCTCGACTAGGGCTCTACGCCTATAAATTGTAAGCCCCTTACACATGGGGGTAGGGGGTATCTCTCACGTACCATACCTTGAGCTTACTCTTTTTTTCTCTCTCACACACACATCACTACTACTTTATTCTCTCATTAATAAATTTTTTGGCCACCGTCGTTACTTTAGTGGTTAGGTCACCTAGGCCCAACCCACCCAATCTTTGTCTTTTATTATTAATTGATTCATTAATTATCTTCATCATACATTCGACTGATTTAATTGTACATAACCTATTTTGTGCATCATCACCATTAAGCAATGATTTTTTTCCCATTAAATTAGATGCTTTACTCTAAAATATCTACAATAATATATATTTTTAACAATCGAATAGCTAGCTCAATTAATCACATGCAGCCTGATTATAAAGTTAAAATATAGAGGCTAATACAGATGCTATTGTATGCTTGGCCATAAACAATGGACACTCGGTACCATTGTTCGATCACAACCCATGATGCCACGTGGTTAGTTTCAATGGTGGGCCCCCATAATCTCTAATAGACGAATTTGTTTTGTAGTGTTCGAGCAGGAGTCCAGATTCCATAGGATTAAGCTTTTTTTTTTTTTTCAACAAGTATCCAGAGCATCAAAAGTCAAGGACAACATTACGGTACCAACAATAAAAATTTAATATTGTATCGTCAAATTTTATAATTTTTTTGAATTGAAATATAAGTTTTTGAATTTGCTTATGATAATTTTTTTTTATAAATTTTAATATTATAGTTATTTATAACAATTTTTATGGAGTTATTTATACCGTTTAAAGGTTACTTGTGATTGGTCTTAAATTTTTTAGGATCAATCATAAGTGACCCTCAAAAGTTATCAATAATCCTCAAAAGTTATCGATAATTCTCAAAAGTCATAAATAATTCATAAA